TCAAGCTTTCTTTTGCTTTTATTTTAGATCTTAAAAAAAAAAAAAGTAAAAATACAAAAAATACAGGGAAAATAAGGAGAAACTCCTCTCTGGGAGAAGGAGCAGAGCTTGGGTGAGGAAAGGGGAGAGTGGGAGAAGCAACTCGGAAATCATTATCTGTTGGTTAAAACCTGCCTGGGGTAAAATTTCAACTCAATTTTATAGCCTTCTATTATGACGCAAAGAAAAATTTACGACCCTCGCTTGAAAAGAGGGCCGGGGCCTTTTCTCGCCGGTTTAAGAATAGGCGGCAGATGCCGTGACAGCGACCATTGTTCCCGGTAGACACAGGCGACCGGGCAACCTCAGCCCGCGTGCGCCAGGCGTGTCCCCAGCCAGGCCGGTTTCTTACAACTCTTGTTGTCTGGGAGCAGCCTGCGCGCACCCTCTCCCTCACCCCTCGCACCCTCGCCCTTTGCACACCCTCACATCCTCTCTCTCTCTCTCTCTCTCTCTCTCTCTCTCTCTCTCTCTCTCTCTCTCTCTCTCTCACACACACACACACACACACACACACACACGCACACACTCGGCCGCTCTCAGTGATTTTTCATAAGTGCAAAGCTTTGCTGAACCAAGGGTCACTATCCAAGCCACAGACAACTTCTCGCCGGCGCGCGGTTCCAAATCAGGAAGCAAAGGGAACTATTTGTCAGCGGCCCTGACAGCTAAGTTCATTAAGGATTTAAATCTGATGAAATAAAAGTCGCCAAATATTTACCTGCCGGCCGCGCTCCCGCGCCCGCCGCCTGGGGCCGGGGGTGGAGGGCCGGGGGCGCCACGCGGCCCCCCTCAGCGGGTGATATTCTTGGGATCCCTGCACTTTCCAAGTCGGAGAGAGCCCTTTGCGTGGCAGATTAATGACGACTCCTTGTTTCTTAAGGGACGTGCTGAATTAATTATTTCGCCAATCACGTGGTCGGGACTTGTAGAAATCTATTCTTATCATCTTCCTTGCACTTTGAAAATTCTCCGGGTTATGAAAGGCCCTCCCCCGGCTGCCAGCGAGCCCCGGCCGCTCAGCCCGGCGCGGGGGGCAGGGAGGGCTCCCCAACATGGCGGGCGGGAAGCGCCTTCTGCTGAGGGTCCCGATTTACTGTACTGTACTCAGCGGGCTTGGCTATGGACTCGCTTCCTTCTCATCCCTGCCGGTGATTCAATACACACAACGGTATTGATGTATTGGTGGGCACAGGAGGAGCCATTAACCAGAAGACGGGCAGAGGACAATCATAAAATGTGTCTGAATATTTAAACTTCTGTCTAAGCACTTATAAATACACATGTCCACGCGTCTGGAGCGAGTCCTTCCATATATTAAGGATACATGTCTGATTTTATGCATTCTATTCATTTCCTGTCTCTATCAAGACCCCCATCTATTTTGGGACTCCTGTCTTGGCCCCCTTTTCAAGACTGAGGCCAAGATGAGGAAAAGCCCTAGGGATAAAAATAGTGCACGGTCCTTTTTTTTTTTTTTTTTTTTTTTTTAATAGTGGGAGTGTTTATTGTTGTCTGAGGGGTGGAGAGGTGCTGAGAAGGAGAGGCAGGTGCTGAAGGCCCCAGGTGGAGCTGAGCAGCACCAGAAAAGTAGAGGGAGCCCAGGATTGGAGGCCAGCCCGGTCAGATCAGAGGAGCTACAAGACAGCCTCAGCTCAGGTCAGCCCAGGACCAACACTCTCTCCCAGCTTCTGGACAGCTGGAAGTTTTCTTATACAAATTACAAAGGCTTCCTCTGAGGTCCTAGACTGAAGGGGTCTGGGGCTGGCCTGCACCAAGCAAAAAGCCAACATGGAGTCCCCTAATAGCCCAGGCAGTTACTTCTTTTCCTTTTAATAAATAATGCCCAACACCCTGCAACCTGAATTCAATCCCAGACTTTCCAATGCTCACAAAATAATGGTGGCCAAACTGGGAGTGTGTTTATACTAGGAGGGGGTAATAATAATTGCTAAGCCTTATACCCCTTAACAATCACACCTTAACACCAAGTAAATTGGTGCCATTTTTTTTTTTACAGGAAATAATAAGTTGTTTATCTTGAATGTTAGCTTTTAAAAGACTTAACGAATGCTTCTGTCGAGGCATCAAACAGGAGGGAGATTTTGCTACACTTTTTATTATTTCAAATATAGATCAATGGATTACATCAAAACTACAGGCAACAATTAGTATAAATAATACTTTAATCAGTGGCAGCAAAACATTGGTCAATTCTATTAAAAAAGCATCTCATGTGAACAGACTCCATGGGGCTGACTGACAATGTCATCTCACAACAAAAGGCTGCAATGGACAAAGTGAGATGGGAGTCTGAGGAGCAGTGTCCTCAGCAAACACTTCACCTCCCCCTGTCATGACCCCAACACAGGTTTAAAAAAGTAACACCACAAAACCAAATACTACTGGCCCATATATGGGGGGAACAAACTGGAAATAAATAATAGCAAAAGGGTTCTGGAGCTTTCCACACAGAGCATATTCCCAGATGGAAACTGATTTCCTTCCCTGCCCTAGGTGGTTGGAGGGCCTTTCCCCTTTCCTGGCCCACTCCTGTGGGGCCCAAATGGATACTGAGGTCTGAGTGGGATATCAGGGTTGGGAGCTACCCTCTGGGTCATCCAGGCTCCATTAACATTTCAAAAGACAATCCCTGGAAGCTGAGAAGAAGAGCTGAGACTCATAAACAAAGAAGTTGTTTCTCTGATGAAATTACTTTCCAAAGTAGAGGGACTATGTTTAAGAAGAATCTGGGGTTTTCTTCAGGAAAACATGACTCTTGCTTGGCTTTCCTTTGAGACAGGGGAAAAGGCAGTTAAGCAGTGTGGCATTTGGTCTGAAGTTAGGTGAGTGACCAAAACTTTTTGGGAAAGGAAAATCTACATGATAATTCTCCATAATAGATTGTAGTTAGATGTTGTGAAAATATATACTTTTTTACTTCTCCCCAGGGGAAGGTTCTATGTATGCACAGATTAGGGTTTTAGGAAAGAATCTTAGCAACTCCCCAATTTGCCTAAGGATAGTGGCTCTTTTCAAATGCTACATCCAAAGACTGCTCTCTACGTTAAAGGGGGGGGGGGGAAGAAGGGTAGTTAGAGTCCAAAAGGTTAAGGGTTTAGAGGTCAGTCCTCCCGGCTGAAATACAGCTAATCGAATAGAAAATTTGTCCTCTGGATGAACCTGATTCTGTAATTTAGCCGAACTTCAGTAAAATACCTTTTCAGCCTCTCAACGTGGGGCATCAGAAAAAAAGACATCTTGACTATGTATGAACTCTGTGCTTTTTGTCATAGAAACAATGATGCGAATAATGCAGGAATATCCATCTTTAATATCCCGACGTGGCGATATTCAAGTATTGCCATGTGCAAGTCTGAGAGCCAGGCTCACCCCAAAGAGGAACAAAGAGCTGTCCCTAGGGTCTAATACAAAAGACCAAGGCTTGGAAGACACTTTAGAGAAGCGGAATTTTAGCCTAGGGAACCTCAGTGAATACCTGCCCTCAGCTCTCAGGAGACACAGCACCAAAGAACACGCCTCTTTTTCCCTCTTCACTTAAGTGTATTTTAAGAATTACTACTAAAAGCTAAAGCATTCTAAAGTACTAGGGAAAAATAACTTCATTATGGATCTTAATATTAAGTTTTTAGCTTACCCTTTCTGCTTTCCCACTTGGGTCACTTATAACTAGGGGTTTCTTTTTTGGAGGCTTTTCTTTTTTGAAGGCTTTGGGATTCAAACTTTTGAAAACTTGTTTCATTTGAGTATATGAACTCTGAACATTACCTTTGACTCTTTCTCACTTATCCTTAAGGGTCAACATTTTTAGAAAAATGAGCTTTAAATTCTTCCCAAACATGGCATTTAAAAAAGTGACTAAAAAACATCTCTTCTGTGGTTCAAGACTGATTTTTTAAAAGCACTATTCTCAAGGCAAAGAAGAGGGTCTGAAAACTTTTGTACTTTTGCAATTTCTGCTTCTAATTAATGGATTGAGAAAAACTTCCTTAGGGTTTCTTTTCCCCCTTAAATTAAAACTTCAGGGGGAAAACTCCCTAAGACCAACTTTTGTACACTTCTAGATTCAATTAGTTTCTTTCTTAAAGCAATACTTCCTCACCTACCCACTGTTCCCAACTGCACAAACCCTCCACCATATAGGCCATAACACCAATTCCTATGAAATCCTGCATAGCAGGATTTTGGAGCTATTTGGAACCCAGTTGGAACAGAAGATTCAGTCATTATCTGATGGCCCAGGGCATAGAGGTTTTGTTTTCCTTCCCCAGAAGGAAAATGTTGAACCATTTGTTTCCCCCACCACCACTCCTTTCCTTTAATTACCCAGAACTGCTTATAAGCACTGTGCTGGAAAACAAGCACATGTGGAAATATATTTTTCAAGAACTCAACTTCCAGTAGATCCTTTGCTTTCTCTAGAAGGGTTAAGGGTCCCCTATATTTCTTTTCAAGGAATGGGGAGGGAGTGGAGTTCCAAAGGCAGGTATCCGCCAGGAGTGAGTCCACACATATCTGATCCAGCTCTCTGAAGCTCAGCCCCTTTGGCCATCTAAAGATTTTTGGCATGATGGTGTTAGTTATTTCTGTACCCATTTCCAACAAATAAATATTTAAGCAAATATAATCTAAACATAAAATAACCCGTTTCCTTTCCTTCTTACACTATTTCTTTGGGCATGGGACCATTGGGAGCAAAACATTTTCTTTTCTAATCACTCTGGAAGTATAACAACCCAGAAAGTTCAGAAATCCTGGCCCAGCTTTCCAGCTCCCATTGAAAGCACCTAGCACAGGGGTGGCCAACCTTCTGCCTCAACTCCCCCACATTACTAAACCACAAAGCTCCCTGGAGGGGTGGAGTGGGGGAGGGTATCCAAATTCATAATGGGATAAAGCATCCAACCTTCATTTGCAAAGTCAAAATCCAACAGCTGAGATTTTCATGAGTTTAATGACTCGCCAAGGTTTTATGTTCTCAGTAGCTCCTGCCATATAATATACGTAGAGAGAATCCCGCCCATCCCTCCCACCCCCTTCCCCACTCTAGGGAGGGGGCTGCCCTCGGGCGGGATGCTAACCTAGTCCGAGGGCGGCCTGCAAGTCCCAGGTCCACCCCACAGTACCTTAGAGCCCAGTGAGGTGACAGCAGGCCCGGCCTGCCCCCGCAGCTTCGGCTCAGCCTGGAGCGAAGGGAGGGTTGGGCCCAGAGTCCCCACTTCTATAAAGTCGTCAGGTCCGTATGGTGGTCCTTGGTCATGGGCTGCAAATGCTGGCCTGGGGTGGCTGAGGAGGAGCAGGAGGAGGAAGAAGATGATGATGATGACCTGCCTTTGGTGTTGGGCAGCTTATGGTCTTTTTTCCACTTCATCCTCCGGTTCTGGAACCAGATCTTGATCTGGCGCTCCGAAAGACACAGGGTGTGAGCGATTTCAATCCGACGGCGCCGTGTCAGATACCTGTTAAAATGAAATTCCTTTTCCAGTTCTAGGACTTGCTGCCGGGTGTAGGCCGTCCGGGAACGCTTGGGCTCCCCGCCGGTGTAGTTGGGGTTCACTGCGAGACAAAAACAGACCGGACAGCCAGGTCAGCGCCAGGCCACTAGTTAGGCCCCTGGCCTCTGCCGCTCACTTCCTGGAGCGCCCGAGGCCGCGGCCCTCCCGCGCGCGCGCTCCCAGGCTCGCGGCTTCCTCCCTCCTGTCCTCTCCCCGGCGCGCACACTCCCACCCACCGCCTCACACCCACTCACTCCCCCCCAGCGCCTCACAAAATCCCCCCCCCAAAATGCTCCCTTCTCCCTGCTCCATCAAGAGCTCCGGAATTCCTAAACATTTTGGAAATGCCCTTCTCCACTGCCTTCCTCTCCTCTGAAAATGGAGTCCTCCCCCACCCCACCCCATCCCCACCCCCTTTTGCTCCCACAGCTAAGCATCCAGCCACATGGTCCCAGCCTGCTCCCTCAGCTATAAAAATTTATGGAGAGAGTAATTGCAGCGCCCAAGGAAGCTCCACCCGTCCCCATCCCTACATCCCCATCCACACACACCCTCTCCCGGGGGGCCCAGGCCAATGGGCTGTGGTAGGGGCCGTGGGGGCACTGGACCCCTGCCTTACCCGAATTCACGTGCACCTTCTTCATCCAGGGGTAGACCACAGCAGGCTGTTTGAGTGCCGTCCCGGGGGGCGGCTGCTTGGGGCCGCCGGGCTGGCTGCAGGCCCGGGCGCCAGGCAGGGGTGCAGGCGGAGGCGCCGGGCACGGCTCTCCTGGGGCGCTGTAGTGACCACCAGGGCCGCTGGGCTCTTGTCCGTGACCCCGCGCAGGCAGTGCTGAGCCGGGACCGGGGCCGCCTCCTCCAAAGGGCTGCTCACCGAAGTCGGGACGCGGGTAGAGCCCCGGGGGCTGGAACTCGGCGCCCTGTGCGCTGCCGTAGTAGTCGGTGCCCTGCTCGCCTAGGTAGCCGCCCTGCAAATACTCCTCGCACGGAGGAAACTTGGGGTCCACATACTTAGAGTTCACCATATACGAACTCATGGCCATTAATTTCAGAAGGTAGAAAATACTAATTTTTCTCGTGTTGTCTTTTTTTCTCCTTCCATAGGGCCCTCCTACTTGCTGTCAACTGAATAAAGTTGGGCAGCCATGTGACCAGGCCAACCAATGGGGAGGGAGGGAGTTTATCACTGGGTTGGTGAGCATCTCATAATTTTCACAAATTTAACTAAATAACATACATGTAATCAAGTGACTTGCCATGCCACATTTGAGGGCCCCGCCAGATGTTAATGTAGTTACAAATCCCCAGCACCCCTATCCCCAGCAGGTAATCCTCAGCTTTTGTCTGCCACTGACTTTGCTAACCTTCTATGCCCTCTCTACTCACCCTCTCCTGAAAGCAGCTCCTCCAAAGTGGGCACAGTTCAAGGAAGAATGAATCCTTCTATTCAGACACAGGGCAACGAAGTGTGGGTAGGCAAGGTGACCTCCGAGTTGGGCAAAATGTCTCAGGCAGGCAGACTGCCTGCCCAACCCGCGGGAGCCGGGACTCTGCCATACAAAGACGGAGTAGGGCTTTGTCTTCATCAGGGTCACCCAAAAGTTACCAGAATCCGGTAGGCCTGAATTAAGTTAGGCAATGAGTAACTGCCATGCTTTTCTACCAGTGCTCAGAATGGGCTATTCCTAGCCAAAAAGTTGGGCCCTGCTGATAAGACAGGAGGTCCTCAATGCCCAGGTTCTTACAGCTGAAGGTTGTAGTGGGAAGGTGGCAAGGGGACCCTCACCTCACCCAAAAGCACCCCAGAAGTGACCACTATCCTTCCTCTCAGTTTGCTTTCTTCCCACATAGGGCTCTAAAAGCCACTGAGTCCCCATTTGGGTACCTACATCTCTTGTCCCTGGAGGAGAGAGCAGGGACTAGAGCTAGCTGGCCATTCACTTTACTTCTCAATACTCCAAAACCTAGCCCTCTAGCCCTGCATTTGTACAACCAATCAGGGTTTCTTTCTGTAGCAATATCCACCGGAGTCTCCATTTAAAGGTGAGGAACTTCTTGAGGAAAAGCCTGCATGATATCACCAGGCACAGTCCATCCTCCTGGAGTCCAAGGTAATGAAACAGAAAAAGGGAGCTGACCCATACCAGCTGCTTTCGTCTTTGGTCTTTGGCTATTTCAGAGAAACTTGAAGTTTTTGCATCGACCATATATTCCCCTAGAATCGAATCTGTGACTATGTGGATACCACACAAATTCGGTTCTACAGGGTATATATAGACAACGTTACAACCTCGGGTCCTACCCAGGGAGAAACTCAGACGGCTGCCAGCTCTGGCCTCTTCCTCTGCATCACCACCAGCCCAATGCAGCCACCAGCATTTTCGGAGACAATTTAAGTAGACTGACAGGTTTGGTGGCAATTTGCAGCAACCAGTTCCTTAATTCTTTGCCAGGGATGGGGTTATTGAGCAGCAAGAAACCAGGACATTCTTCTTAAAAAAAAAAAAAAAAAAAAAAAGAAAGAAAGAAAGAAAAGAAGAGAAAGATAAAGCATCCTAGAGATGGCGGCTTTATTACCCCCTCTTGGGATCCAAAATACCCTTCTCCTTCCTCATCAAGTGATATTTTCCAGAAAGGAGTAAATGCCCTGAGCAGCAAAAGCAAAAAAGGCAAGAAGGAAATCTCTTTTGCCTGTTCCTTCCCCCACTGCTTGGCTAATTCAGGTTGGTGGCCAAGCTAGTTGTCCCAGAAGCCACACATTTACCTTCCTGGGCCCTCAGCCCGGCTGGCCTCTCCGTCCCTGCTGCTCCTGCAGACCCCAAGGCAAGGCGCTGCTCACAGGCACCGAGCTGACCTGAGCTGAGGCCGGAGTGCTAATGGTGAAGGGTAGGGTGAGGGGTCATTCAAAATCATTTACAAACATATCACAAAGTTTCATTATTTTTGCTTTGCCGACAGCAGCACACAAGAGTACAAAAGTTCACGAATTTTGCCCGCCCCAGCGCCTCTGTGCTGTCCGGGGCTTGCCCCTCAGTTCAGGGCATCAAGAAGGAAGACACATTTAGAAGCCAGGCAGAGTTCAGAGACAGAGAGATTTCCTGGCTTGAATGAGGTTTTTAGATGCATGATAGTAGGCCAAGGGTATCCAAATTTTTAATATTGTTTTGATCCACCCCACCTATAATTCAAAAATTAGTTTTTCAGTCTCAGACCTGGGTCTGTGGGGCAGGGATACCCCTACCCCCATCATGCCTGGCAAATTCGGCTGCTTACTTCTATTCTGCACTTGGTACATGCACAAATGCCTCCAACTCTTTGGTTCTACTGCTTTAGTTACTTTACAGGAATTTCCTCTGTGTCTCTTTTAACAAGGGCTTTAAGGCTACTGAATCTCTTTGTCCCAAGAGAGTATCACCAATTTCCCCTAATACCAAGTACTTTCCTCTACCTGGCTTCCTAGAATAGTGGGCCTACCTAGGTATTGCCCAGGCAAATTGGGGGAGTCTGATGAGGTGGGTGAGGACTTGGGCCAGCGTACACATTTTCATATTTGTTAGACGCTGTGACCTGCATTTCACCTTATTGCTCGACTTGTTCAGACAGGTCAAAGCCAACGAGTTATTGATGAACAAAAGCGTTAAATATTCACCTCTCGCTCAACTGCCCATACTAATGCTTTTGATCTCTCGGGCTTTTTGTGCTGTGTTCAGCTACCAGGCACCAAATGTGAGTTTGCAAGTGAGCAGCATTGGCAGAAATAAGCACCTAGAACCAGGGCAGCAGGAGAAAGGCGGCAAGACCAGGAGGTTCTGAGGACACTCTCAGCCTGGAGCCCAGTGCCCTATTTTACTTGAGCCAGACTGGGTCAGAGAGGAACTAGGTGAAGTGCTGGGTAGATCTCAACATCTCAGGGTGAGCACAGCCCCAGGGAGTCAACTACTACCCAGCCTAGCAGGGCAAAGAAACTCAGCCCTGAGACCAGCACTAGTTTCTCCAACCATGAATAGAGGGGCCGTTCACAAGAAAGGGAGGATGCCTGGTCCCTGCAGTCCTAGCGCATCCCATTTTCCATTATAAGAAAATCACCTCCGTTTTGCAGTGAGGGAGGGGTCATTATTGTTTTCTTGACCCTCCTACCACTACCACAATCTTAATGAGATGGTCCTCCTGGAGACTTCACAGATCTCCTCAGAAGTGTACCTGTCTTTCACAGGCAGGTCAGAGAGATCCAAACTTCCGAACCAAGGAACCCAAGAGTCCCTGGCCCCACTCCACCCCACCCCTACTGTTTCCTTAGGGCACCAGCAACTCTGGCCCAGAAATTCTTAAACTGCTGTTATAGAAAAGCAGAGGTGAACAAGAGGAATCTGTACTCTCCTCACCCAGCTCGTGTCGGAAACCCAGAGCCCACACTGCTCAAGTTGGAGCAGGGGGAGGGGTGGGAGAAGGATGTCCGTGTAAAGCTCCAAATTCTCAGCCCTTCCCGGAAGCGGGCCAGCTGAAAACACGCCAGCCCATTGAGGGTTTTTTGTTTGTTTGTTTTTAATTAATGTATTTAAATAGAGGGGGCAGGAGAAGTCTGGGCTAGACTGGGCCAGATTAAGCTGGACTGGGCTGAGGAGGGGGATCACTTGCTGTTTACTGTGTTGTTGGAGCTGGAGGGGATGCTCCCCCGATACTTATTAGGGTGGGCTGCTAATTAGCTGCATGCTTCTTGACCCGAGCGACCGCTCCAGCGGAGCTGCACCTGTGTGAGAGACGAAGCCTGAGAAGGCCGGGAAGAGCCAGGGAGGCCCAAAGAGACCAGGGCGAGACCCCGCGGCAAGTTCCCTTAGGCAGGTGACTGTGAACTAGGCCCCAGAAAAGCTGCCCAGGAGCTCAACTTGGAACCTCCACCTCCCAAAGCGAGCTCTTCTCCACCGGCCAGGCCCGGGGAGGCAGGGCCGTTCATCCACCCGCCCACTGCGCTGGCCCTTCACCCACCATCTCCCAGGATCAGGACCGCCTCTTCGCAATTCGGAAGAAACGGGAAGGTACTTACAGCGGCGCTTTCTCACGGTCCTGAACCTGTTGCAATGAAAACGGAGCTCACTTAAATTCCACAGAATAATAAAAAAGAAATAGATGACACAGAAAAATGACAAGACCCAGACCGCCTCACCCCAGGCCATACCCAGACCTTCCTGCTTTGGGCGCGGGTCCCTGGGAATTGCGCAAAGTTCTCCTCGGACCGCAGCGCCCAAGGGCAGACCCACAGAGAACAGGGGAGAGTTCGGTCCCCACCACCTCCCCCACTCCCCGCACCCTTGGGCAAAACCCTACTGGTTGTTTGGCCCGCCTCAGACTGTCTTTAACAGGGTTTCCGCAGTGGGAAATCGGGAAGCGAGGAGAAAATGGGCCTTTGTGTCTTGCCTTCAGCATAATCAGCCGGGTGGGTGCAGGTCTACTGGAGGGAATGACCGGTCCATCTGTCCCCTAACCCAGCTCCCCTTCTCTCTCTCTCTGGAAGTAATTCAGCTTTCTTTTCTAGCTTCAGATCGGTTTCAAATTCCTCAACCCCAACCAGTGACCCTCCAAAACCTGCCTTCTCTTCCTCCCTAAAAAAAGGATCAGGCATAACTGGGACTTGCCTTTTCTCTTCTTCTCCAATCTAACACAAAGAGCAATTTCCAGGGGGAAATGAAGACCCAAATGATAATCAGGGAGGAAGAAAATCAATGGGTTTAAAGGTAAATGGCAATTCTTTAGATTGTTACCTAGCTCTCTGGGTATGACATCAATGTTTCAGAATTGCTGCTGGAGAACCCACAAACCATCTTACAAGGCAGCGGTCCTTTCAGGGATTGGTGTTCAGCTTTAAGTATTTAGTCTTTTCCAGTTTTATTCTAGGATAGCAATCTTCTCTGAGAAATCTGAGGGGCAAAGCCATTTCCACACTCATTTTCTCTCCCCACCCAGAATACCACTGCTTTACTCCACTTATGAAGTAGATGCTCCATCTTGGGGAGGGGAAAGGCAGTAAGTTCCCCTTGTGAGTTAGAAGCCTTCAATTCCTAACTTTCCATGTTCAGAAGAGAAGGAAAGAAAACTTAGATTCCCATTCTATGTGTCAATTTAGGGTTTAGGTTTAAATTAGAATTAACTTCAATGAGACTCCCTAAGCAGCAAAGTCAGGGCAGAGCAATCCTCCCCCCACCTCCAGTTGTTGTGGAAAAAGTAAGTGACTTACTGTTTTTCTTTCCTAGTGGGCAGGGGAGCTGGGAGTAGAACTGTCTCCTTCTGAGCCCGGCGCTGGCTGGAGCCTCTCACTTTCCTATCGCTGCTCCAGGAATCAAGCATCTGCACTTGTATGCTCTTAACCTAATTTATGGTGGGAATTATATTTTGGCTTGTCAACTCTCAAGCCATAAAACAAAGTTTATTGGAATCACGTGCTTGTAAATAGCCACTCAGGTCCCATCTCTGCAGAACCATAAATAACCTTTGCCTTTAAACTTTTATTCACTAAATAAAGGTTCACTGCAACTGTTCCCTCAGATTTAAATAGTTCCAAATATCCAGAATGCAAGGGAGGTCATATTCATATCAATACCCCAGGCTTTTCAAATAGCATCTTTTCAGAGAAGGCTGTTTAAATTGGGAGATAGTGCTATTTGGAAAAGGCTGGTTGGTGGGCATGTCTTATGATTCTTTGGCTGCATTCGCTGTGAGTACCATCAACTCCTTTATTTCAATCGTTTTCTAGCTTTAGATGTGGTAAAGAGGAAAGTCAAAGGCCACTTCTTATTTGCTTAATGAAAGAAGTTGGAAATTATTTGAGATTTTGTTCAAGTTTCAATAGAGAAAGAGTGGTTAGGGAGAGGCTGGGTGGGCTTCGGGTGGGGATGGCACTTGGCTTCCTCTGTATTGTTGTGGATGGGCTTGGAGAATGTTGAAGATAGCCACATGCCTAGAGCTTTCTATAATTTCCTTAGATCTGAAAGAGAAGACTTTGCAAGTGACCAAACTGCTTAAAACAGCAAGACTTGGGGTTTGGCAAAGTGAGAAAGTGGAGAATAGCCCCATCGGAATCTTTGGCAACTGAAGCTCTAAAGAAGGTTATAAAACAATAAAAAGGTCCTGGTGTGAAGGGGAGAGGGTGTGAGGAAGCAAATGAGGCTCTCAAGGAACTCAAGCACAGGAAGTCAGATG